CGTGACAGCCCTAGTCATCTTACAACAAGTATAACCCTGAATAGATTTCAGAGGTTTAAGCTCCAGTAACGGGCCAGTGCATTCATTTATTCCACACTTGTGTGGAGGTGAAGAAAATATTGCTGAAACATTTCACAAGAGACAGACATGAGACCGTCCAAACAGCCCCCTTTGATGCGATAGCAATTATGCCTCGGCACAAGCCAGTTAAATTGAGAAATAAATCAACATGGGGGTAATAAATGAAACTAAAGTGCATGAAATTTAAAAGTTTTCCAATTAGGAACGACTTAAGCTGTTTGGAGTCTGGCTGGAATGAGATAAATGCAGTGGCCAGTGAGTGCTAATGAGGACGTGCGCATCCACGGCAGCTGCTGCAGCTTGTACACAGATAGTCACGGCCATCGTGGCCACTTTTAATAACCCCCCTTCAGTTTATCTGGCGGAATTATTATTAGCCCTCTGTTTGTTGGAGGACTTATCTCTGTCTTCTCTTGGTAGAATTGTGTGTTGCTCGAAGCTCTGTGCTTGATGTGAGTGACATACTTACATGTATGTGCTTATGTAGACTGTATTTATATTATTAAAATAATAATATTAGGCATGTGTATGATTAACCGATTAATCATTAATCAGCAAATGATAAATGCTATCAGCTAAAAAGTTAATTTAATTTTATTTATTAAGGACTACTTTTTAAGAAGACAATAGCCAGAAGGATGTACTATGTCGAAAGTAAACGTCCACAAGTGCTGTGTTCTCCAAGAGAAAGTGTGAGGCATTGCTCCACACATGGGAGTTAAAATCAGAGGGATGTGGGGAAATCTTTTCAGAGCTACTGAGGTACACTGAGCCAAAGCTAGCCCTAGTCATGACCTTTATGCTTGTCTGGGACAGTAATGAGTAATAAATATAAGTTTAGAATGAATTAGAAATTTCAGTAGCCCCTCATTATATACCAGTAATTTAATCAGATTTAGTATTTGTTTGTGTAATCATGAGCACAATATAGTTGCCAGCCCCTCAGTTTAAACGTTGGGCTTGTTTAATCCATATACAGTTGTATGCAAAAGAACAAAACCTCGTATCTCTAAAGTGGTAACTTTACAGGAGAAGGAAAAGCCTTCTTTACTTTTAATGTAAGTCAATGTAACTAGACTTTTTTCCAAGTCATTTTTTGGCCATTTCTTTTGGTCTGTTCATCGTGAAATTTGCAATGTAAAGGTCAGCAGGCTTTTTCAAATTATGTCAAAAACTGAAAAACGACAAAAATGGAGATACGAGGTTCCCGACAGCAGTGATTTGTTAGATTCTACTACTAAACACACAGCACCAGGAATTGGATGATAACTACTACTAAAATAATACTCTAAAATTGTGTGTGTGTGTGTGTGTGTGTGTGTGTGTGTGTGTGTGTTTATGATTGCATGCATATGAACATTTGTACATTTGAAAAGTAAAGTTTCTCTTTCTCCACTCTTTGCTCATTTTGAATCCCATTTTTAGGTTATTTCTTCTCATCAGTGGAACTTTTTTCCATAGATGTTGCAGATTTTCTGATACAAAACTACAGTTCCATCACTGTGTCTCAGATCTTTGTGTTAAGTGTTCTAAAACCCCATCTAACATGAACAGTATCATTGATGATGTACAATTACTTTTGATTTAGCATTGTTTCGATGTCAGATGTCAAATTTCACCATGAATTCAACCATGTGCTATTCAAGACAAAGCTAAATTACCAGCAGTTCAAAAGCGTACCAGATAATGTGAGTGAACACCCTTATACACTTAGAAGTCCTCCAAACTTTTCAGTACAGTAGTGCAATTTTCTTTCATTGTGCTGCATATCTCTTCTCGTTGCCCCTGGTGCTACTCTGAGAGAAAGTCCCCTAAAGTACTTAAGGTTTGATTAGAAAGTTTGATAATAAGTTATCAAGATGAAGAACAATTGCTTTGCTAAATACACAATTTCACTTAATGAAAGAGGCTGATGAGGATTGTAATTTAGCACAAAGTGTAATGACTAACTTTTAAAATCTAATTCAGGTTTGAACACCAGTCCTGCAGCTATCATCAGTTTAACTTTGCTATTAAGCTCAGTAGAAGTCTTAATTAGAATAAAGACGTTTCTGGGAGATTAACTTTAGTTGAGGCCATTGTGTCTGTCAAAGAGACTCTTTTCACTGAGTCTTACTGATCTGCGCATTTTTGTCTTTAGACCCACTTGTATCAGTGCATTCTGGTATATATTGAAGAAGGCTTGAGAATAGTGTAAGTGCATTTTTAGTGCCAGACCTTCTACATATGTAGTTTTAGCGATGCGATCAAGGATGAAAGTAGGTCAGTTTGAACTTTCTCACTTTCTTTTCACCAACAAAACAGTTTTGCTTGTTTGAAAAGCTTTGAAAGTCTGTCCAGTTATGAGGATATTTTGAGGAGCATAAAGCCACAGAGGTCTTTGCACAAAAAGCATTTATGGTTTGGCATATGACACAAAAGTGCACATTTTAAAGCACATTTTAAAACACATTAGGTGCACTTAAGGCTCCCATGTTTGTGGTTTCAAACCTGCTACATGGACACAAAGTGTTTGACAGCTTCTGACTGCAGTTCAGATTTGAGTGTTTTAGGTCGTATGAGAGTTTTATCAGCGGGGCTAGCACTTTGAGTAATTTGGTTATGACTGTACAGTATTTATTCATCCAGCTTTACACACAGTTGGCTTTTTTATTTTGGCTGATCTGCGTGCAAAAGTTGTATGCCAAAAAATTCAAATATAAGAATAAGTATTAAAATGGAAAAACATGTTGCAAATACAAATAATAAGAATTAGATCAAACATAATATTTCAAAACTTAATATTTCACCAGCATTTTGACAGTCTTTGTTTTCATATCAGATTTTGCAAACATTTTTTTGCTTACTGGAATCGTTCCTTTGCTTCTGAATTTTAACTTTTTTTTTTTTTACAGAAGAGTAGGTAGTGAGTGATAGGTCCTCTGACCCTTAGACACGCCCACTTAGTGAATAATAGAAAGTCTCCCAAGTTGATGGAAACCATCTTACCACATGCAAAATTATTATATATGATATATTATGCAATCACCTGATCGCAATTATCCAGGCTGACCATATTTACTCTCCACAGGTTTTAGCTTTCACACTTATATGTTTACATCACACCAAACTGAACGTGAAAAGGTTGGACTGAGGTACATACATGTAAATAAAGCAAAGCATAAACACATTTATTGAGACATACCAGGTCTTATGGAAACAGCGAAACTTGGTGGCTTATTGCCATTGGTGTTACACCTTTAGAGGTCAGCGGTGTTTGTTTATTTGAGTTTGAGCTGTGACTTTTGTCAGTTGGCTACTAAATATCAACAACAAGATGGACTGATATGGGAATTGTAGACCAATGTTAATATCCCATATGTTACACATACACATCTGACAGTGTTGAAACTGATGCTGATACATAGGCTTTCATAAAATGTAGAAATTGGGATTAGAGCCCAAATGGATTAGCATTAAAGAGGAAAAAAAATATTTCTGTGGGGTTACAAATGTGGTAAAATGAATAAAATGCAGATGTTTTAGGACAGTAGCTCAGCTCTGCCTAAACATTCTGCTCTTCTGGAATAAATATGTCAAGTATCAGTTTGAAATATTTGTCAAATCTAAACGTCAGATGCAGACTTTTTTCAATTCCAATATCAAGTAAAGATTTATTTATATAGCATATTTAACAACAGGCGTTGTCACAAAGCAGCATTACAGAAAATCTGAGTCCAAGTCCCAATGAGCAAGCCAAGGGGGACAGTAGCAAGAAAATATAACATAAGAGCAAGAGGAAGAAACCTCGAGAGGAACATAGACTAAAAACCTATCTTCCTCTTATCAACACTGGATAGCAAAAACAATAACACAACAAGAGCAACATGAATAGAGGATAATATTTAACAATTAATACATAGTACTGAATATAGAGAAAAAGAAATGAACCCAGCCTGTCATTGGACAGGGGTATTTGGATTAACCAGTGATCACGGATGACTGTCGTTAGAGGCCTGTCAGAGTAACAAGGAGAAATAGCTCTATGAAAACCAGTCAGTGTTACTGACCAGTAATAAAGTTACAGTGTTACTGTTACAGTCACTGTTACTGTCCCTGACTGCAGTTACAGCCCTATCAGAGTAACAATGAGAATAGATCTATGAAAACCAGTTACTGTTACTGACTACTAACAGTGTTAGTGTTACTGTTACAGTCACTGTTACTGTCACTGACTCTATGATAGCTCTATGAAAACCAGTGAGTACTTTTCGAGGCACATCATCCTTTCATGATGATATGTTAGTATGAATATGTGAAGAACTATTAAGAACGCTTCATATTATAGGATGAAGCAGATGTCTGAGATTTAAATAGTTCTAGTTTAAGTCTGTGCACCAGCATCATTAGGAGTGAGTATGACATGCAGCTGAGGATTTCTGCACCGCAGGAAAGTGAATAGACATGCAAGAAGCTCAATTGTGGTTGACAATATCATCATACATACGTAACTGACAGCTGGGAAAGGATAGCCAATCAGCCAGTTCAGCTACTTTGTCCTGGCACTTTAATAATTGCATACGATGGAGGAAAAAAAGACAAACTGTTAATTGCAATTATTAATGTGACTAATAATCGGCAGCTAAAATTTAATGATCACGGCGAGCCTAGCCATCAGATTTGGTTGTAAAATTTCAAAATTGGCCATAAAAATGTACAATGTGTGCACCCATAATATTTAATATCACCACTAATATTAGCGTCTGAGCATATACGGTTCAGGATTTATTGTTTTAGGTCATATGAGAGTTTCATCAATAGGTTCAAAAACGGTTATGACTGCACTGCGTGTAATCAGCTTGCTTTGATTGATCATCTAAGGTTTTACCATATTTGGAGTGTTTTTGAGTGATTCTTCTCGTTTCTCTGTGTTGTTATAGGACACTATCCTGGTCATTTTGGCTGTGCTGGTCTTTCTCCTGGGTGTTTACGCTTTCTTCTACCTCAACCTGAGCACAGAGCTGAACCTGGATAATGACGTGGACTAAACACCTGCCCTTAACGACGCTGTGGAGGCCTCTGGGAGGATGGCAGCAGCCTTATGATAAAATCCCTCATTTACAGAGGGCCAGTGGCGCTTCAGTCACTAAACATGACTCTGTCCTACACCTGAACCTCTCAGTGCCCTTCATGACTGCTGCAGCTAAGGAATGCCCAAGAGAAGGCAATATTGTCAAAATAAGAAATGAACACTGACAAAGCCAAAATCATTCGTTTTTGTAAGATGCTGGAAAGGCTTTTCAGACAGAATATGTTGAAAGTGTTGTTTGTTTTGTTTCTTCCTTTCAGTTTAATACTTTCCGATGTCATTTGACACTGATCGTGTAATCTCCTACCTGTTTCTTAACTCAGATTGGTACATTTGACTCAGGAACAGACTGAGTTTACCATTAAATAGCCAGTATGGATATGCACGTCCCATTACTCTGGGCTCACTTCTATGACATTCCAATGCTTCCTCAATCTTCTCAAAGAATTATGTATAATAATTAACTTGAACTCTGCTATGTAACACTGACATAATCATGTCATGAAGACGTAATATGCTGTCATGAGTTGTCATGACAGATTTTGTTGAATAATATGAGTTTGTCATGTTATTATACCTGGTAATTACGCCAGATGTCATAATGTTTGATCTCATGACATAGGGGTGAATGATTTGGGGGAAAAAATATCGATTTATTTTGCAATTACAATTAAAAAGCAGTTAATTTCTAGAAATGTATCACCAGGCAACTTTTTTGGCCAAGAAGACATCCACTTTCTCAGGCATGAGGCCTGAATGCTGAATGTAGTGTGCCAGACATGAGCTCTGTGTTATTAGGTTAATTTTCCCCACTTAAAACCATAAGACAACTTTGAATAATGTACATTCACAGGCAAAGGTTTGGGTGCCCCAGTCCAGTGACATGTTTTGATGATTGAATTGAAAGTAAGTTAGCACATCCCCTACAAAGAGCACACTTAACACACATTTTAATGCACAATTACTGTTTATTTGCTGAATTTAACATAATGGATAGGGGGGATAAAACCTAAAATGCAGCGTGTACAAAGATAATGGCACATTTAATATGTTATATTTTTTCTGATGTGTTAAATTCAGCAAATAAATGTAAATTGTGCCATAAACTTGTAGAAATATGCCATATTTTGTAAGTTTGTTCTCTGTAGACTATGTGTTAACATATTAACTATTCAAACAAACGTAATTTTTCTGGGGGTGTTCAAATTTTTGCATATGGTTGTAGGATAGAATTCAAAGTAGGTAACACTTAACTTAAACCCTGCTACAACATTGACCTAACCATGGCATAACCACATCATGGAAGATGTCAAATACTCTCATGAGTTGTCGTGAGAGATATTGTTCAGTAATGTAACAATGTCTTGTTACCAGTACTATTATTTGTCATGACAGATGGTAAAATGTTTGATGTCACAGCAGCTTATGTTACATGGTCATTTTTACTATGTACTTTAGTTAGTTGTTATGACATCAATTATTATGGAATCTGTCATGACAGGTACCAGCAATAGTACAATGACACTGTTAAATTACTGGACTGTTATATTACAGCGTATGACGTCTGCCATGCTATGTCAGTGTTATGTAACAGGGTTCAAATAAAGTGTTACCACTTGTGATGTGAAAATTGTAATCTTGCAATTTTGATAGAACAATAATGAAATATTCAGTCCTATCACAACGGCTGAGTGTACACTAGTTAGCCATCATGACCTCCAACATCTGTCATGACAGTTACTGGCAATGGTGACATAACATAATATTACTGGACATAATGTGTCATGACAGAATATGACATCTTCCATGACATTAATGGCATGATTTTGTCAATGTTATGTAGCAGGGTTCAAGCAAAGTGTTACTAGAATAATAGAAAGCTTTCACTGTTTTTTTTTAATTTCTGTTTGTTTTTGTACATACATACACCATCTTAACCGCTTATACTTCTGGGTCACGGTGGGGCTCTCAATGGGCAGAAGGCAGGATACACCCTGGACAGGTTGCCAGTCCATCGCAGGGCAGACAGACACATTCACACACACACCTAGGGGTAATTTAGCATGTCTGCATGTCTTTGGACTGTGGGAGGAAACCGGAGTACCCAGAGGAAACCCACGCAGACACGGGGAGAACAGGCAAACTCCACACAGAAACAACCCTGGTCGTCCAGCTGGGAATCGAACCCAGGCCATTCTTGCTGTGAGGCAACAGCGCTACCCACTGCGCCACCGTGCCGCCATTTGTTTTTTTTATTTCTTTTTCTTATGCATTGCATGCTGCATTTCTTTCCATAAAACATCTGCCTGCAGATCCATGGATCTCAACTCGGGAGATTAAAGATGGAAAGCCAGCCGCTGATTGAGTGTGTGTGTGGAATACTGAAGTGCTCTTTCTCTGTCAGAGCCCATCTTATTAGCATCTTAAATACTGTCAGCCTCTATGAATGAGTAGCAATAAAAGACATCAAACTTTGTCATGAAGACCTTGACGTGCTCTCTGCTAATGTGTGTGCAGGCATGTGTGTGTGTGTGTGTGAGATTTGAGGAGTTTGAACAAGATGAAAAGCATGGCCCTCCATTACTCACCGACCTGTGCTGTTTCCCTTATATGTATCAGACACAGAGAGTATAAAGGCTGATGACATTCAAGATTAATTTACACTTCTTTTTCTATTGTATATTGGAACTCGTGCAAACATTCAGAACCGACTCATTTCATTCCAGAGAGTGGGAGCTGGTTTATTATTCCTTGCATGAAGTGCACGTCTCTGCTCAGGATTAGTGCCTCGCTGCTCAATGCTTGTTTTTCCTGGGAAGGATCTCTGTTATCATTAATTGAAGGATTGATGCTCAATTGAACAAAACATTTTTGTACTCCATTTCTGATTTGAAAGCAAAGTCTTCTTTTGTGGCGAGACTGTGTTCAATCAAAATAAAACGACTGTAGTTTGCTTGTTGACTGTAATGCTCTTTCTTTTTGTGCTTTTGATGAAGAAAAAACTTGCTGCAACATATTGTTACTGATAAAGTCAGAATTGTGCTGTAAAATATGTTTAGCAGCTAGGCCAGTCACAATCACAGTATTTTAACTGGCAGTTAAAGGAGAATTCCACCAATTTTCTGCATGGTTCAGGTGTTGAGATGTATATTTACAGCATTTGGCAGATGCTTTTGTCCAGAGTGACTTACAATTTGGTCATTTTTTTACACAGGTAAGCAAAGGTAGTGTTAAGCGTCTTCCCCAAGGACTCATTGGTATAGTGTAGGGTGCTTGCCCAAGCGACAGACTGAACCCCAGTCTACAGCATAGAAGGCAGAGGTGTTACCCACTACACTATACCAACCATGTAATTGTGACATAACTTATTCAGAGTGGTCTGGTGTCAAATATTACAGAAATCAGTTTTTATAAGTAATGTTAATAAAGGTAAAACAGTAAAAAATTGGGGAAAAATGTTTTCTTTGAATATTGTTTGGATACAACACTCTATACTTACCTCTCCAGGTTATAAAAAAGTATCTTTTAGGCCAAAACCTCTCAAAACTGTCATACATATTACTATGACAGCTAATGACTGTGCAAAATGATTGCGGTCAGGCGATTATGCAATAATCATGAAAGGCCTATTGGTGGCATCTCAACACATTTGTTTTTTTTACAGAATTGTGCTGTAAATATCTGCCTTCAGTTTACATTCAGATGTGATCTTAGCTTGTTAACGACATGTGTATTCGAGACTCAGCTGCTACCATGGCAGCTCTGGCTGTGGGAGACCTCCCAGGAGGCCACCTGTGCTAGCGTGGGCTGGGTGAGGGACCGTCTGTGCTGGAAAGGCTTTGTTCAGCTCTGGTCATTAGGCCTCTGGCAGCTAAAGTGCGGTAGCCTGGCCTGCCCATGCCCACTGCCACTGATGTCAGCTCCAGCCAGCAGGGCCATGTTAGTTCATGAACCCAGAGCTACAGCTGGGAGCGATTCAAATTCACACCTCACCACACTCATTAGGAGCAACAGGTGGCCAATAGTGGGCAAACAGTAGGAGCCGAACTTATCAGAGGAAAGTGGCACGCCATTGCTAATCATCTCTATAGCCGCTACAGTCCATGCATACGTTTTTGAATGTGCTGCCATTGTCAGAGGTTCATTGGAGCTATGCTCACAGTAGCTTTGAGGTCACCCCTTGAATATTAATGCGATATTGACTTGTTGAGTGTCTTAATGGCGAAGGATTTGGCCAAGCTGGACATGTCGTTTTCATGTGCTCTATCAACTTGACTTTTTGAAAACCTAAGAAGTGTTATCGCAATCCAAATTAAAACAAGCCTGAAAAACACACAAAATTAGCATGTACAAGTGTGCAGATTTGATGGAGGGGATTTACAGTATTGTACTGCATGTTTTAAATTATTTTTGCTATGAATTCTTTCAGCTGTATTCCACTTTTTCATACCCTTATGTTCTGCATAGTTATATGATGTTTGGCATCAAGTATTATAGCTATATCCCCAGGTTCAGCTAAACCTCAGCTAACAAGATGTGCACTATAATTGGACATTTAAATTCACAAAAAAATTGTTTATGTTTTGATGGGAAAGGATTTGGCTGGACAACTGGACATGAACTGTAGCTGACTTTGTGGAAATGGTAACCTTAGAACTGTTTTCACAATCTACATGAAAATAAGCCTATATAAACCACCATGGAAGTAAATGTGAAAATTTGATGGTGGTAGTCTATTGTATGTTTCTGACTAATTGTTGCTGTTAAAGTTTGTACAATATTCCCATTTAGCCCAGATTAGAGGTACTATTAAAGCTAGGCCTTTAGTTTGAGCCATAAACACCAAAACTCAGTCAAAACAAGAGAAAAAAACATCTCTACGATAAAGCCAATTTCTGCTAACACCCCTATGTGATTCTAGTAGTATGATAGCTCTAAGCTATTGACAATTCACATGAACATTTTTTGGCCATTTTAGATTAAACACAGACATTAAATATTTAATTTAAAGATATATGAACATATATTTAACCTTGTTTGTTGAGGTTTTACAATGATTCAGTAAAGAGGTCTGGCATAGAGCTGCTGTCACTGTTTTCCATTTCTAACAACTGACTGGAACCTGCTTAGACTACTGCTTATATTCACAGTCAGTGATATATCTAGGGCTTCTGAAGGTCTAAGGTGACATTTTTTTTTCTCTAGAAATCAAAACATGACTGGTCAATCTCGTTGTTACTTCCGAATTATTTTGGCTGTTATTCTAATGCATTGGGCCTTCAATCTAGCCCCTGAAGGCCTAATTACAGACATGCTTTTTTCAATTTCTCAGAAATCATTAGGCCTTCTCTGAAAACACAGAGGACCCTAAGGGTTCCCCTCTGCCCCAA